AAGATTTCTGTTTATATCAAGCTGCCATTTGAGAAAGACTTTTAAATATGTTCCTCGCTATGTGTAAATCTGACAGCAGTTGCATAATTAGAACCCCAGTGGAGAGTTTCTTTTTAATCTTTTCAAAGTAAACCAATAAAACATCCTTTAGGATGTCAAGTGATGGATTAATACTCTTTGAATTGTTTAAATATCTTTGAGCTAGAATATTGCTTACTACTAAGAAAATACAAGCCACCATCTTTATCTTCAGGAGTTCATGTAGTCACAGGGCACGCAGATAACGACATGCCAATGGCCACACATGCATCTATGATAAGTTACTTTGTTAAATGGAGGGGTGAATAAATGGATACATTCACGTTAAAACAAACTTGATTTCAACCCCTTCGGAATATGTGGCGTAGCGTAAGTGGGATAAATAATAATTACCTAGGGTTTCATTTCAGTGTAAGCGATCAATATGAGTAATTTAGACCACAAAATTGGGTTTTATTTTGCTTGAGCTATTCAGATTGAGCTATACAGCCTCAGCGACTATTGAACAATCACAGGCAAATTTTCTCATGGGGTCTGTGCTGTGTGGACACACGTTTGTGTCTCTACACGGTTGCAAGCTGCCTAGCTCTGGATATGGGACCCTGTTCACGCCAAATGTCAGGACAAACATTCCATCTCATCATGATGTTCCATTTAACCCTCGGTACAGACAGCCATACCTGAACTTTCCTTCTATGTCTCCCTCTAGCTGAAGGTCCAATTCTGCCCCCAAACACACACACACACACACACACACACACACACACACACACACACACGCTAAGAGCAAGTGGCTTCTGTCCTTGGATCAGAGTTTACTAGAATGTTTCCCACTTGTTAGCATTCCAGTCTCTGATGACCTTTTCAGTGGGATCTTGCCTTCCCAGCTGTCTAAGGCCTGCCAGATGCTTCTAGTCAGACTGACCTTTAAGATAAGCCTGTTCCTTCAAGTTTTCTCTGGACTTAATTAGTTGGCTGCCTGATCAACAGAGCATCCTCCTGCCCAGCCCTGCCCTGATGACTGAGAAAGGGCACACCCACACCCACACATCCATTATTTTTATTGTTGTTGCTAATCCTCACCTGAGGATATTTTCTCCATTGATTTTAGAGAAAGTGAAAGGGAGGGAGGGACGAGGGGAGAGAGAGGGAGAGGAAGAGAGAGAGAGAAAGAGAGAGAGAGAGACATTGATACATTGATGTGAGAGATTGGAGATTGGTTGCCTCCTGCACATGCCCCAACTGGGGCTGGGGTTCGAACCTGCAATCCAGGTATATGCCCTTGATCGGAAATCAAACCCTCCAGTGCCCAGGGTCAACACTCTAACCGTGGAGCACACCGGCCAGGGCCACACCCCCATTATTAAATACTTCAGTCTCAAACAAGAATGTGCGACCCAATGATATGCATGAAATTGGTAGAACAGACACTACTTAACTTGGATTCTGGACCCAGCTGAACACACAATTAACTGTGATCTGAGACAAGTGCCCTCACATTCTGGGCTACATGGGACTGGACCAAAGGTTCCCTCCTTGTTCTAATCATCGATTTAATGGCCCATGTTGGAATATGCTTTCACCTTTGCCTGGTAGAATAAGCTTTAATTATTCAAAACATAGCACCAGGTCTGACATACACAATACATCATGTTTATGTAATGAAGGAAGGAAGGGTTTTTCTATACTAAAGTCTAGATGAATCATTTAGCTGGGTCTGCACAACACACACTCAAAATGTTCACACGGCTGCATGGACCATTCATGCTGTGATAGTCACTAATCACATAAAACTGAGTGCACACTAATTTCTCTCTTCACTGGGCAAGGTAGCAGATAGAGAATCCTGTGCCCATTTTGGACTGAGTTTTGGCTCCCCGAGCCGCTGAATCCATAAAAGCACCAGTAATAGTAATCATTGTCTCTGAAGACTCAGGGCATTTAAGGGGAAGGAACGATGTGAGCAGAAAAGAAAGTGACATAAGTAGGTCTTTACTTAAATCGCATCCAAGTATATTTTGCAAGAGAAGGCTGAAATGACAATCATGCTACTTTGGGATTCGGCAGAACCTATCTGACCAATGTGAACCACTGCCCCAGATCATGCTACTCGTGCTGCTATCTTGGCAATCCCTGCAAGGGGCTCATGCAGTGCTGAGCTGTCCACAGGCAGGTTCTGGTCCCTGAGTGCAGCTCCTCTCAGAGATGAATGTTGTCCTGTAGCAGATTTTGGAAAACAATGTTGGGTCATTCGTAACACAGCCACACGCTTCCGTGTAGCCCTCCTACACTGCTTGCCTACATACAAAAAACACAAATTGAGAAAGAGAACATAGTTCTTTTCCACTTGCCTAAAGAACAGCCATTCCTGCCAGTAGATTAAAGGCTGGGGCTTGGAACAATTTGCCAAAACACTGACTTGATTTTTTGTGCAGAAAGCCTGAGAGAAGCTTTTGAAGCTATGGCTGGGCAGTGAATGAAGAAATTGATGGGAGCTTATCAAAGAAGCCCAGAGACAGCAGGTCCCAGGAATGGGGCCCGGTCTGTATGAGCTCACAGCCCATAGGGAAAGAGGATCCTGCTAACCTTTTCCTTTGTCACTGGGAGAGAAATGCTGTGGCCTCCCAATATGTGCACAGGTGTGTGTCTAGGTGGAGGAGAGCAAAAGGTGTGTTTACAAAAGGAGGAGCACAAATCAATAATGAGCTATGAACACATGATGTCATCCTTCAGGACGAAGCATCCTCAGTACTTTTAAAGCACTTAAAAAAAACACTCTAGTTGCTATAGCAACTTGATGCAGCTCTTTAAAGGGGATTTTTTTGAGGGGGTCATTTTATATCTTCAATCTCCATAACAACATGATATGGCTTTTAAAGGGTATTTTTATCCAATTTGTGTGTTGGAATTGGGCCATATTTGCCTTTTTTAGTTTAAAATAATCAGATCAAGAATGACACATGAAAAATCATTGAAGGAAAGAAAGCCCTTTAGTAAACGATACATACACACTGAGCGCGACATCTCCAGCTGCTCACATCCTGCGCATGGATGCCGTCTTTCTGCCTCCCAGCAGCCATGAGTGATGGCTTACGCTGGTCAGTTAGTCCGTGCCCGCCAGCCTAGGCTGGCATACCAAGCCAGACCAGAACCCACCCATGGAAGGTGTGTCTATGAAATCCCTCACTTCTCAGCCCAGTGAATCCAGCCCCCTCCTCCAAAACTACTAGAGGTCAAAACAGCCCAGTGCCTTCTCCCACTCTGGGACTCCAAGCAGGATTGGACACACACACAATTTTGCCAAAATGAAAGCTTGTGTTTACTCTGCACCCTGTACAGTAACTGGGAAGGAGGTCTGTTTCATGTGACACCCAGGGGCCAGGGAGAGGGGGGAAATGGGGAAAGTGGGTGAAAGGAGAAGAGAGGGTGGGGTGGAATGGGGAGCAGTGGTGGCTCCCGGATCTCTACAGAAGAAGCTCAGAGGAGGGGGGAGTGGGAAAAGTAGGGGGCCTCAAGGAGTACTTACAAAACATTTTTTGTAAGGTGGTGAAACCATGAGCTGTTTATACCAAAAAGAAAGAAGGAGCCTGGCCAGCACGGCTCAGTGGTTGAGCATCGACCTATGAACCAGGAGGTCTCAGTTTGATTCCCGGTCAGGGCACATGCCGGGGTTGTGGGCTTGATCCCCAGTGTGGGGCTTGCAGGAGACAGCCAATCAATGATTCTCTCTCATCATTGATGTTTCTATCTCTCTCTCCCTCTCTGAAATCAATAAAAATATTTTTTTAAAAAAAGAGAGAGAAGGG